GGGCTACAAACTTAGCAATGCACTGGCTTAGTCACCTCAGATTTGGCAGGGTGGTTGTCCTTGAGTTCTAAATGGCCACTGTTGATTCTGACAAAGTGGTATGCGGGGGTATTCACGCCATGATAGTGGCAGTTCTAGTTTTGTTTTGCTCACATTTTCTATTATTTATCTGTACTGGTGAATCCTGTGTAATTTTTTAACTTCATTATAATGAAAAAGTCACTTTTGTTTAACTAATCCCCTATTTCCTCAACATAAATATAACCTTAGCAACTGTGACAGTTATCTGCATATATCACATTTGCCTATTTACATGTGATTTGGTTGCATACTTTATATTTAATTAGATTATACCTAAACCATTTCTTTTCACAGGTGAAACAACAAAGTGAACATGATTGATGTTGATTTTGGACAGTTTAAACTAAAGCATGATGGATAGGTCATTTAAGGAAAATACTGCACAGGGACAAGTTCATGATTCACAGGCACAAGTTCATGATGAAAATGTTCAAGCTCATGATGTAAGAGGACAAGTAAATGATGAAAACGGAAAAGTTCAAAGCATACATGGACATGATGAAAGGAGACAGGGTCGTGATGCTCAAGGACAAGCTTATGATGAAGGGGGACAAGTTTGTAATGAACAGGGACAAGTTCATTATGAAGGGGGACAAGTTTGTGATGCACAGGGACAAGTTTATTATGAAAGGGGACAAGTTCAAAGTGCTCGGGGACATGATGAAAAGAGACAAGTTCGTGCTGAAAGGAGACAAGTGCGTGATGCACAGGGACAAGTTCATGATGAAAAGGGACAAGTTCATGGCACACAGGTACAAGCTCATGGTGAACAGGCACAAGTTCATGATGCCCACTACAACAAAAAGCAAGTTAAAAGTCAATCAGATAAGAAAGATAAAGTAGATGAGAAGCAGAATGTAGATATGGTATGTTATATACTGTGTATTCGTAAACTATAACAATATTCATCATTTACATACAAGGTTAATATCTATGATATGAAAGTGTTTCACTAAATAAAGAGCCTTATTTAGCCTCCCCAGAAATAATTGTCTATGCAATTTAAATTTAATTCTTGAATTAATTTCCTTTGATATAACATTACTACAGAAATGTAAGAAAACAATATTCTTGATGGCAAAAAATTGCTTTGTTCAATTCTTAAGATTATGGCTATTGCAGTCTTTAGGTGTATTTTATTCATAAATAACAAGTAAATGTACTATACTGTTAGAACAGATGACAAAGCACAAATTTTCAGCTCTACTTTACTTGTCAAATTATTGTTATCAAATAATTTATTTTCTTTTATAATGGACAGATTTTATTGTTATAGGGGCAAAACTACACTTATGAAAGACCAACCTATTGAATGATTTAAGTATGCCCTTGTTCTGTTATTTATTTATTGTTTTATTGCTGTATTATATGATTTTTGATATTTACGTTCAGTTAAAGCTGTCAGTGTCACATATGGGAGACAAATCTCACGGTCATGAGTCAGATGTGTCACAGATAGCAGTCATTGATAGAACAAGAGTACAGCAGACAACAAAGAAGGATGACTCTTATGATGCACCAATACTACTTCCACCTGAAGACATCAGTGGTAAAACATCATACTAATAATACCCCCCACCCCAATGAAAGTTGTTATTATACCTCCCCACACAATGACAGTTGCTGCCCGTCAATCTGTTTTCTGGCCATCTCTCTGTGCTTCTTTTCTTTAACTGCTCAACCATTTTTAATGAACCTTTACAGAAATAATTGTGTAATTCTTAAGGACTTTGATCTTGACTGAAAAATGACCTTTACTTTAAAGGTTAATTGGTTAAAATATTACTTAAATTGGTTATTATTGGCTATAACTTTGTCAATAGATGTATTTAACCATACTTTAACACAACACTCTTTTAAACAATAACTTTGAGTAGTAAAGCTGAACTTCACTTTCACCTAAATTGACCTTGACCCAAAATTATTGAATTTTGCTCAATATCCTTTCGACCGCCATCCGCTATACCCGTAGGACGGCCAAAGCGTAAGAAAACGTATCGAATTTTTACATTTCTGAAAGCCAGTCTTATATTACGACAGACGTCCATAGCGTAGTTAAACGTATCAAAAATATACCTTTCTAGAATCCGTAGCGTAAATCAGCGTAAAATTTGAATTTTGTTTCACGCAACCCTGTATTAACCTCGTTTTCGTACATTCTATTTTTTTTAATGTGTTTATGAAAATCGAAATATTACAAAGCCATACCGTATAACACTGTTAATATTACGTTCAAACAGTCTCACAATCCTTGTTTTCTGAATAATGTATTTAAAACAAGTTCTGAACGTTTTAAAACGGTAAATTTTATGTTATTTACCTATATAGCATTTTGTTGTTCACGACTTGCCTGCGTCCTTTCATACCACGGCCATTAGAATACCATGTTGAGTAAAACGTCCACAACGTTTTAAAACGTAATTATTGAAAATCAATGAAAATCAATTTTTCTCAGGAAGGGTGATTGATATTATGCTTTTCAATGTGAATTGTGTAAGTTCAACTAATTTTTGTTTCAAATAAGAGAACTGCTTACAGAAACTCTGTTTGGTGTATGAATAAATGCATTTTAAAATACTATACCATTTAGAAGATTTTCTTCAATTAATTTGGATATCGATTTGATTACCACATTAATTAAAAAGTGTACAGTATATCTAAACATTTACTGTATCTGTCAATAAAGGGCACTATACAATTAATATATTTGGTGTTTTTATTTGAACAACATTAAACAGAATGAAATAAATGAAAGGTAAACTTCAAGCATTTAGTCATTTAAAACTAAATTTTGGTGGCCTTCCTACGACAAACAGTAGTGGCTTTCAGGAAGCCAAAATTTTATACTGGTTTATTATGTTATAGCCTTCTTATGACTATAGCGCCCGGCTTTTGAGAAGTCGATTTTTCGGTACGTTTTATTAGGCTGTGGCCCCCGAAAGGATATGGCCATATTTTTGTTATTTATAGATGGATTTGATTAATACTTACAAAACAAGACTTGGCATTAAATGCACAAGTATGACTGTAATCTTTAAATGACCTTGACCCTTAAGGTCAAATTGTTGAATTTTTCTAAAATTCGCTATAATTAAGCTATTAATGGATGGATTTTGAGTAATACTTTAACAAAACAACACTAAGCGTATTTAAACTCCCATATCAAGCAAATCATGTTTGACTTTGACCTTTAAACGACTTTGACCTGTAAGGTCAAATTATTGAACATTTCTTAAATTTGCTATTATAACTTTGATTTTATTGGATGTTCTGCATATATTCTTTGTCATTATTTATTTTATTAATGGAAGGATTTGATAGATACTTGAACAATCTTTTAAAGGTATTTCAGTAAGGATATCAATGTGGTTTCAAGATAGTGACAAACAGAAAAAGGTGATTGCTTTTGATGTGCCTTGTACTATAATGCAGTATATGAAATGGCAGTTTATTCTCAATTTACCTCCTTGGCTTGAGCAATTAAACATTCTCCTAAAGAGAAAAAAGATTCCAGGTACAGTTACTTCGGATTGTGTTGTCCAGGTTCAAATGAAAGTTGATAATGAAAAAGTTTTACAAGACTTAGGTACTTCTGTCTTTAATCATGCGATGGATGAACTTGGAAAAAGCCTGTGTGTAAGAGAAATGGTTACAGCATGTAACCAATTTGACATGTGCATGCAACAATTAAGGCAAGAGAAAGTAGGTATTCATGCTGAAGTTTTAAAAGACAAATTATATATTGTATATAGGACATGTGATCAGAAGTCAGTTTTAGAATCTTTAAAAGACGTAAGACTTGCAGGAGATAAAAAAATAAAAGAAACAATTGAGACATCTCTAGTTTGTATTAAATTGGCGCACATGATGGAGCTTGAGAAAACTTTAAAGTTGCTTTGTAGTTCCACCGAACTAAAAATTGTGTTTGAGACATGCCCAGATAAGTTTAAAGTTATCTTTACTGGACCTGAGAGAGCTGTGAATTTAGCAAAGCAAGAATTTAATCGGATTAGCCAACATATTGTGTCAGAAAGATGTACACTTCATATAATAGCAAGGTCTGCCATACCAGAGCTTGAAGTTGATAAGGTCCTTGATGAACATCTTTCAAAGGTAAATATAAAATGTGTAACATTACAAAAGACAGACGATATTTATATATATGCATTGGAAAAAAACAGCTTAAAAAGGGCATCAGATGAAATAGCAAGACTGATTATAGAAAAGACATGTATAATCAAAGGTGACCTTAAACATCAAAAGGATTTACTTGTTGCACAAGTTAAACAAACATGGCCTGGATTAGTAGTCCTGCACATAGAAGAGAGTGGCCATCTTTATATTGTTGGTGTGAAGGATTGTGTTGAAAAAGCAAGTCAGTGGGTGTCTGAACTGCAGAAAGGCAAACAAACATTAGAAGAATTCTTAAGCATGCAAAGTGCTGAGAAAGTTGATAAAGAGCATGATGACGTTGGTCCCAAGAGGAGGCAGGAAAAGCAAGAAGAACTGTTTAAAGTTAAGGATGATCAGGCAGCATTGTATAACAATTTAGACAAGGCAAATAAGGAGACTGAAAACAAGCTTGAAGGAAAAGGAGCTGAATTAGAAAAGACTTCTCTTCCTGATATGAAATATGCCGTTGAAGACAGTGGTGGGAAAAATGAAAAATCAATACAGAAGGATAAGAAGAAAGCCTTGACAAAAACATACCATAAAGATAGTGCACAGCATGTTTTGCATGACATCAAGAGTATTGCTGTAAAAGAAAGTCAGAAAACAAAGGAACATGAAGATATGAAAGAAAAACACATACAGGGTCATACACGTTGTTCTAATAAAGATATCATTGATGATTCAAAGCCGAAACTTACAAAACAGGAAGAAAAGAAAGTTACAATAGGGAAGACAGAGAAGAAATTTAGAAAGGAACAAAATGAAAGGAATGACCAAAAGTCAGGAGAACATCTTTTTTCATCACCAGATTTAGATACTCTAGTTATGAACATTTCTCATCCTAGTCATGTACAGTTTATGACCAAAGATGAGTGTAGATCATTTTTATCAACTTGTGCAGATGATCATAATGTTACAATACATCAGGTCATTGACTACAGGTTAGCAGATACTGTTGAGGCTGCTGAAAATGCTGTCATCACTCCAGAGGAAACAATAGAGCGCTCAGTTTTATGGAAAGTGACTAAAGTGAAGAAAATATTGCAATTGACAACAAAACAATATGATGGAAATGCAAACCCTGGGTCTCGTTTCGTTAATGTGAAGTTCAAAGAATGCAGACATGATAAAGGTATATCTGATATGTTTTACTATTTCTTGTGTGCTAAGATTCACTTTTTAGCTTGACAATTAAGTTGTCCTACTTACCCTTGTATCCTGATCAAGATTTCTGGATAAAGTTTTTCTCAGTAAATATTTTTTTACTCTTTTTAATTGCTCAATAGAAAATATTTACACTAAATTTCAAATATATTTTACTTACTTCATAAATGACAAGGTTCATAAGTATAGCACCAGAATATCTCATAGAATTTCATATCCCACTGATGTTAATACAAATTACAGCTCATAATTATTTAAGGAAACTATCCAGCTAGCTTATAGAATGAAAGAGGCTATACTCAGGTGCCCCCTAATGCCTGAAATAATGCACGGAAGGGCACCAGAAGTCTTCCTCAATCAGTAATGTTGGAAAGTCATATGACAAAGGCAAAATTTTCATTTTTTTGTTTTGAATTTTTCATTCATTATTCTGTAAGTGTCCTCAAAATGAATACACTAGGCAGTCACAGGAACAAAGCTTTTCTCCTTACCAAGAGTAAAATGGCGGTCTCCTAACTTGACTCACGTGGGTTAGGTTAGAGCATTTATATTTCATAATAGTTGTCACAGTGAACTCTGGAAACGTTAAAGAACATGACACGTGAATGACTTAGACTTGTTTCAATCATACACTATCCACAATATCTGTTATTGAGACTTCCACAGTTTGTTAAACTCACATGACTTGTTTGAAAACTATTCAGTGATTTTGTCGGCATCTAAATATTGTTCAAGATATACAAAATCCAAAATATATATAGAATTTATACAGTAATTCATGCTGAGACTTTCATAATTGTCATTTGATGGTGATTTGAGTACATAAAATGATCTTTATATTTTTTTAATTTATTTGCCTGAGTATGTGTGTATACTTTAAAAATTTGATCTTTAAAAAAATCTGCTTCACAGAAATTACAATGCCCAAGACTGTGATATTTAGCATGTAGGATCACCTTGTGGTCCTCTTCAAAACATTAATATATCATACCCTATTGAAAAATGTATAAAGTTTCATCTAACGTATTGTATTTTATGAGAACATTCAAACAATATTTGCAAATTGCCGATGACAACGTACACACTATCGTGTAAAAGTGTTGACGAAACTAAATACATTTTTAGAAAGCATCGGAAGTGCCGCGGTCGGTAGGCTATGTAGCATAATTCTAATCGGCTGGACAGAAAAATAATCACTAAAAAACTTACCTCAGCCAAGCTATTTTGGCCGTGTACGTTGACTTTTGTGGTCACATGACCAAAGTTGCTTACCCACAGTGATAAATGTTGTGTAAATCATGCCCCTGGGGTCAAAATTGGTCCTGCATCAGGGGACACTTACTTTTTATAGACTTGTGTAGGAAAATACATTTAAGCATTTTTTTGTGCAACTGCAATGCTAAGATTGTATATATTGCCTAGTAGGTCTCTAAAAAAGCTATATAAGTAATGCCCCTTGGGGTAAAAAATGGCTTATTTTTAAAGCAAAAAACATATGTTATATCAATTTTCACACAAATTTTGTTTTAGGTCCTATAATTATTTCTAATGCGGAACCAGTATCAGTGATTATACGTTTACCAGAATGGAAAGATGGCCGTGGGAATGAAGAAATTTTGACTGACTTGTTGACTCAATTTCTTTCACAAACAGAGTTTGCGGATGTCAGCCATATTGTCATGCACCTAGAAGCATGTAATGGGTGGCCAATATCTGCCTTCATCAAGTGTATTGTTTCAGAGACAGTGGAAGGCATATTTCTAAATTACATGACAAAGTTACCTCACATGGTAACCCTGATACTGAAAGAAAATGCAAAGTTTGGTGAGACTCTTCATTATATCAACAGGCGCATTCGTAAATATTTAAAAGGTTGGTTTTTTTACATTTTCACATTTTTTTGTGCCCCAACTTAAGGGGGGGGGGGGGCATTTATATTTACCCTTGTCTGTCTGTCCTTCCGTCCGTCCATCCATTCTCTTTTGTGTTGCGTGTAGCTCAAAAGTATTTGACCTAGAGTCATGAAGTTTCAGGAATGTTGATCAGCATGATTAGTTGTGCATCTAGGTATTTTTGTGTGGATTTATTTAGTATTTTTAGAGTCATTGCCCTTTACTAAGTAAAAATTTGCAATTTTCAACTTGTGTCTCACATAACTCAAAAAGTATTTGACCTAGAGTCATGAAACCTTGGAATGTTGCTCACTCTCTGAAGTTGTGCACCTGTGGTTTTGCTTGTGGATTTATTATGTTTTGTAAGAGTTATTGCCCTTGACCTAGTAAACATTTACAATTTTCAACTTGTGTCGCATGTAGCTCAAAAAGTATTTAACCTAGGGTCATGAAACTTTACAGAAATGTTCATCAGCATGTGTAGTTTTGCACCTGGATATTTTTGTGTGGATTTGTTAGTATTTTCAGAGTTATTGTCCTTGACTTAGTTAAAATATGCAATTTTCAACTTGTGTCACACGTAGCCAGAGCTTTATTCCTTCTACAGCAGGGGCCGGTATAGGGCTGCTTCCCCAAAGAAAAATTCTTCAAAATATGCAGTTTTCCCAAAAAATTGAATTTACATAAAGTTTTTTCTCCCCCTTTTGCAAATATTCTGTGTAATTTTTCGCCAAAATTTAGGACAGGGCTGCTTCCCCAAACTGTGAAATAATGCCCTGGTAGCTCAAAAAGTATTTAACATAGGGTCATGAAACTTTACAGGAATGTTGATCAGCATGTGAAGTTGCCCTTGATTAAGTGAAATTTGCAATTTTCAATTTGTGTGGTGCATAGCTCAAAATGTATTTATTCTAGAGTCATGAAACTTAAAAGGAATGTTTGTCAGCATGTGTAGTTGTGTATCTTGGGTTTTGCTTGCGGATTTATCCAGTATTTGTAGAGTTATTGCCCTTGACTTAGTAAAAACCATTTCATAATGTTGGGTTATTTGGTCCTTGAGTGCTTGAGTTAGAATCAACAAGCTTTACAGGAATAATGATCAATATCACTGAAGCTATGCACCTGGGACTTTGCATGTGTTTTTTTTTCAATTTGGTAAGAGTTATTGACCTTGACTGACAGTAGTATAAATTTGCAATTTTCAACTTGTTCGTTCATAGCTCAAAAAATATTTGACCTGTAGGTCTGAAAGATAACAAAAATGTTGGTCAGCATGTGTACTTATGCACATTGGGGTTCAATTGTGGATTAATTCAGTATTTGTAAAGTTCTTGCCCTTTACTAAGTAAAAGAGTTTTAGTTTTCAACTTGTGGCACATGTAGTCCAAAAAATATTTGATCTAGAGTTATAAGATTGACAAAATAATGGAGTGTGGGGGCACCCATGTCCTATGGACACAGTCAAGTACATAAATATTTCTGTGATTAATGGTATCAATTAATGCTTCTTCTCCTTATGTACATTTAGTGCTTTCATGATCAAATTTAAGTAAAATTGAGCAAAATTGAGGTGGTTCTACTTATGTGTCCGTTCGTGCCGGAAAAAATGCACAGAAGGGAACCTGAGGTCTTACTCAATATGTGAAGCTGGAAAGTGGCCATATGACCTATACTCTGTAGGTACGATGTAAATCCAAAAGAAAAAAAGTGAAATTGAGCAGCAAGGGTGTAATGTTCAGTCAAAGAGCATAATTGTATAATCCATACTTTTTTTGCATTAATTGTCAAGCATAAAAACTAGAATTATTTCTGGATGTTCGTTTCAAATTTCAAAATACTTGTTGATTTGTTGTTGTTTTGTATTAATAATTCAATTTAAATGCATTGAAAAAATGCATACAAACAGAAAAAATACAATTAAATTTGAGAGCATATATTATTAAATTTCAGCAGAGAGAGAAAAACAGAATAAATTGCAAGTCGTCTTAATGTCAGGAGAACTTGCCAAAACAAAGGTAAATTAGAATACTGCAGTTTTACATTTTCAACCATATTGACCATTGTTGTTCAATTGTTAATTTCAAATTGTATCATAGTTTGGGGACCTTTCTGTTGAAAATGTGTCAGAGTTAAAATCAGTACAAATCAGATAGCCTCGTGTTTCTATGCTCTTTCTATTACTTAACATTTGGGCCACCTGTTCATGCACTTGTTTACATGAAAGTTTATAAATACATGTACAAAACATATTTAATTTTAAAATGAGAACAAAAGCACTGCTGAGGTGGGAAAATAAATGTCCAAACAATGTTTTTGGTTTATTTTTTCAGAGCATTAGTTTTGCCAATCAAAAGTAATTGTTTATTTGGGGAAGAGACCCATTCACAGAACTTCTCAAAAAATGTTTTATTCTAATAACCCTCTTAAAACTAACTAAAAAACCCAAAGGGTGATATACATCAGTCTATACTACCCTCACCCCAAAGGAGGGCCAACTTTTACCTCAGGGGTATTGTTAGTATAACTTTTGGAAAAAACTACAAATTGATGGAGCATGCCAAATATCAAAGTGCCGGGCTTTTATAGCTTAGGAGTAAATATTTGACTTCATAAACTAAGTGACAAGGGTCATAATTTATGTAACTTTTATGGAGGTTAACGAAGCAATGCTACATGCCAAATAACCAAGCTCTAGGCATTTTTGTTTCACAAAAAATAAAACTCCAGTGTGGTTTCCTATATATAAGACTATATTAAGTAAGTGACCACCGTACGGAGGAAGGGGGTATTTCCTGAGAGGAATGCTTTGTGTAAGTTTTGTGGAAGTCCACAAGATCTTGCTTAAGGCAACTATGGCATTTAGTTTCATAGAGTCTTTCCTATTTAAGTCTAAATCAATCAAGTAATCGTGGGTGGTAGCCAGTTTGGACACGAGGAGCCAAATTAATATCAGTTTTGTAGAGATCCACAAGGTAATGCTACAAGATAAATCTCTAATATGTGGGCATTGTAGTTTTAGACTTCAGATTTAAAAGTATTTTACTATATAAAGTATTAATAAATCAAGTGACTCCTGGGGGTGGGGGTAAACTTGATCTTAGATAGCATAAACCTGCATTCCCACATTGGTTCAAAAGGTATAGAGCCAATGAATTTGATTCAGTGTGACTTTAACCTAAAGTCTGCACGTCTTTTTATCATGATTTATTTTTCTGCCAAATAGTGTCAGTACCCTTCAATCACTTCAAAAGAATCAGAGCATATACAAAATTGCCAAGATGAAGAGATGTCGGATCAAGTAGGGATAAAGGGCCATTTCAATTGTTATTTTCTTTTGTTATTAGAAGGCCATGGCCCCTTATTCTATTGTTCTCTTTTGTTCTGTTTACGGTAAGATGGCACTCTATCCCTATTCGGTAGTGCTGACAAATGACCAAGTGCATAACAATATTATGCCAACATGATTTTTGGCATATAAAGATAAATATTTTCAAAGAGTGTGGGTATGAAGAATTTAAAAAAAAGAAACTCACTACAATGTCTTCTTCCAAATATATATTCTTTTAGGACAAATAAGTAAAAGATTAGAAAATACAATTTTAATCTCTATTATTTATAGACTGATGTGATAGTTAACACCACTTCGAGAGACTTGGATTTGACAAATGGGAAAGTGTCATCAACATTACTAAAGGCTGCAGGTCAGGGTATACAGAGAGAATGTTGGGATAGATATCCAAGAGGCATATCAATATCAAAGCATGAAGTAGCTGTGACAGGTGGCCACAAATTACATTGTGAAAAAGTTTTCCACATTGCCTTAGATAGGTATATACCAAAACAGGAAATGAATACTATAGAGGTATTTTATGATAATGTTTTGTTGTTAGATAATTTACATTTATGCATAATTTACACTTTAAAATGTCTGAATCAATATTTCTATGACCATTTCTGTTCACACATTACGCTGTAGACTCTGACTGACAAAGCATTTGAATGTAGAGGCATTCGACTGTCCGAAGACACATTTCAAATAAACTTTTATTTTAAGCTAAAATTTGCTTTTAATGTTGTTATATTCACTTTTATCAGTCATGTTCAGAAATGATGAGGCTTCAACTTTTTGTTTGCATTTAGAAAAAAAATGAAATATATGTTAAAGTCTTAACACTTTAATTTTGAAGAGTATTCGTACATTGGTAACACGTTGCCTGGAGCAAGCGTCAGAAATGAAGTACAAGACGATAGCTTTCCCCGCTATCGGGACAGGTGTTTTGAGATATCCTATAGACCTTGTGGCAGCAGCTATGTTCGAGAGCGTTGAGCGTTTCAAGAGTGTTTACATGGATACATCATTGACAACAGTGTTATTTGTCATATATCCAGCAAATATAACAGTTATGGAGGTAGGTAATTTTTGATAATGTTTTCAAATTTGTAATAATGTTTTCAAATTTGTGAACAGACAGGGATTCAAAAGATTTCCTGACACTATATTTTTATCGGATTTAATCATATAAGTTAACTTTTAACCTCCCTATATTGAATGTTTTGAGAGAATGAAACCTAAGGTCTAGGTCACATTGACAAATAAGTCAACAATCAATTGGCTTTCAAACCCATTAACCTTGGCCAGTACACAACCCCTATTGATTTTTGGGTCAAGGGTGCAAAGGTCAAAGTCACATTGACCTTGTATATCAAAACAACCTTAATGTGTAGATGGCAGTAAAGGAAGGAATTTTTGCTGTGACCAAATTTAACAGAATTATGGCCTTTTGTTGATTTTTTCACTATATACTATGTAGAAATTTTGTGAATGCAACTCCTCTTAAACCGGATGGCAGATTTGGCTTAAACTTCCAGGGATGAACAACCTTAATGTGTAGATGGCAGTAAAGGAAAGAATTTTTGCTGCAACCAAATTTAACAGAATTATGGCCCTTTGTTGATTTTTTCATTATATACTATGTAGAAATTTTGTGAACGCAACTCCTCTTAAACCGGATGGCAGATTTTGCTTAAACTTCCAGGGATTAACAGTCTTAATGTGTAGATGGTAGTAAAGGAAGGAATTTTTGCTGCGACCAAATTTAACAGAATTATGGCCCTTTGTTGATTTTTAGTTTTCAACTTGTGGCACATGTACTCCAAAAAGTATTTGACCTAGAGTCATAAGATTGACAGAACAGTAGCGTGTGGGGGCATCCGTGTCCTATGGACACATTTCTAGTTTTCTGTGTGTTGCCAGATACACAAAAGCTTGTCCGGACTACTCCTCATAAACTACTGGTGCAATTTTATCCAAACTTTACAGGAATGATCAGTACCAATTCTAGTTGTGCACTGTCCGTCTGTCTGTCTGTCTTTCACAAAACTTGTCCCAACATGAAATTGGCCATCATGAGGCGACACATGTGATCACTGATCGCTCTTGTGATTTTTAGCTCGACTATTCGATAAGAATAAGTGGAGCTATTGTAGTCACCCGAGCGTCAGCGTCAACGTAAGAATAGTCGAGCGTTGCTGTCCAAACGACAGCTCTTGTTGAAATGAGGGCAGTTTCAAAGGTCAAGGTCACATTGACCTGACCTTGACTGTCAAAATGGTTGTTGACCAAATACTCGATAAATCATGGGGCCCCGCTCTCAAACTTTATTGGTGCATTTATGTCTTTGGTTGTAAACGACCCTTTCACTTTTTGGTTTGAGGTGTCAAAGGTCAAGGTAACTGTGATCTTGTATGCCAAAATATTTTCCATGTTGATAGTTCTGTTTATAGTTCATTGTTAAACTCAGGCTTTCTAAATCACCATTGAAAACTTTGTTTTTCACCATTTTACAATTTTTCATTGCCTGGCTGTATTATTCTTGTTTTTCTTATATTTAAACACCTACTTCTACATAATCAGTTTCTCTGTGACTTACATAATGGAAACTTATTCTTACTTATTAAAGTAGAATGTTGGAATGCCATTTTGACATTTCTTGTTTAAATCGGGATCAAGGTGATCATGTAAAACCTGGTACAATATATTGCAGGAAATTTTGATTATGATCAGTCAATTTGTGGTGACTAAAATATTATTGCAATTTTTCATTTAATGAAGTCCATGTTGAATGTAGTTTCTCTATATGCAGTTTCTTAATACCATGTACTTAATTGTTCTACCATTTTTTTATGCCACCGCAGCATCTGCGATGCGGGGGCATATAGCGATTCACCTGTGTGTATGTGTGTGTGTGTGTGTGTTTGTTTGTGTGTGTGTGTGTTTGTTATATAGATTATATAGTGAACTTAAAAAATCTTCTTGTGAAAAACCACTGGTCCAATTTCAAACAAACTTGGCAGGATTGATCCTTGGGAGAAGGGCTTCCAAAGTTGTTCAAAGAATTTCATTCCATGCAGAAATCTGGTTGCCATGGCAACCAAAGGAATTATAAGAGTGAATTTAAAAAATCTTCTTGTAAAGATCCAAAAGCCCTAGAGCTTAGATATTTTGCATAAGGCATTGTCTGGTAGACCTCTACCAAGATTGTTCAAATTAAAGCCCTGGGGTCAAAATCGGCCCTGTCCCGGGGGTCATTGATTTTCACTATATATACATATAGTAAAAACTTAAAATCCTTCTTGTAAAGACCAAAAAGGCCTAGAGCTTAGATATTTTGCATAAGGCATTTTCTGGTAGACTTCTACCCAAATTGTTCAAATTATATCCCTGGGGTCAAAATCAGCCCCGCCCCGGGGGTCATTGGTTTTCCTTATAATTATATATATATATAGTAAAAACTTTAAAAAAAATTCTTCTAGCAATTGACAAATGCTAGAGGTTAGATATTTTGCATGAAACATTGTGTAGTGAACTTCTAGCAAGATTGTTCAAATTATAGCCCTGGGGTGAAAATTGCCCCCGCCCCGGGGGTCTTTAATTTTCAATGTATACATATAGTAAAAAATAAAAAAATCTTATTGTCTGAAGGTACAAGGCCTAGATCTTTAATATTTGTTAAATGATATCATCTATAGGTACTCTACCAAAGTTGTTCAAATTTTGCCTCTAGTGTTAAAATTAGCCCTGCCCCATGGGCCATAGGTTTTCCTTATATGTTTATAGTAAAAACTTAAAAAAATCATCTTCTCAAAATTTACAAAGGCTAGAGTTAAGATATTTTTCATGAAACATTATGTAGTGAACCTCTAGCAATATTTTAGCCCTGGGGTCAAAATTGGCCTGGCCCTACCCCCAGGGGTCATTGATTTTCACTATGTACATATAGTAAAAATTAAAAATCTTCTTGTCTGAAGGTACAAGCCTTAGAGCTTTGATATTTGGTATAGAATATTATCTATGGGTCCTCTACTAAAGTTGTTTTAATTATGCCCCTAGTGTTAAAATTGCCCTGCCCCAGAGGCGATAGTTTTCCTTATATGTATTAAGTAAAAACTTGAAAAATCTTTTTCTCTGAATTGAAAAATCTTCTTCTCTGAATTGACAAAGGCTAGAGGTTAAATTCACTAGACTCGAGTGCATTGATATATTCCTACTCTGATCTTTTATTGAGTTAACAACAGATTTAACTACTAATCTGATATTAAGAATTAGATAGGTCAGGGATCTATGCATTATGACAATCTTCAAAATCGTACAGAAACAAAAAAAATATGTTCCTACACTACTATTTAGTGTTGTATTTAAATGCGGTGGCATAGCATTTTTCTCAAATGCAATCTTGTTTACATACAATTGCTTATTTTACCATATTTTACCTTCAATTACTTATTTTACCATATTTTTACCTGCATTTACTCAAACAATTTTCAAACAATTTCTTATTTTTACCTTATTTTACATACAATTCTTATTTTTACTGTATTTTTACCACTTATTTCAAAGTAATTGTATACTATGAACTTTTTCATTTAGATTTTCAAAAAGCATGAAGAATCACTAGGTATGTTTGTCTATAATATATTCCATTACCTTAACTGACACGCTAAATAGAGAATTGAAATGTATTCGAAAATTGATAGTAATAATAAATAAGATTAATATTCTTTTGAATAAATTTATTTTATTAAATGTATGCTTTTGAATATTCACGGTTCTGTACACATTAAAACATTGCTTTGCATACTTTTACCTTGCATTTTCTAAAGTATTGTCATAGAATATTTGTAGGATGGTAGTCTTGTGTTTTTGTTTTATTAAGTAAGAGTAACAACCTGACCAAATATGCAGAAAGTTGATGTGTTCTGCTTTATTACAGAAAAACCACTAGAAGTTGGCAGACAAAAAGAGGACATTCCTAGAGTTCAAATAAAAATATCTGGTCAGACTGAGAATGTTGAAAAAGCAAAGTCCTGTGTCTTGGAAAGATGTGATGACGAACTGTACAACCCATCAGATAAAATTCAAGTATGTTTCAAACAAGTCACATTGCAAGAGTATTTATTACTGAGGCATATGTATGAGAACCCTTCTGTTGAAATGGAGCACAAGAACGATTGCCTTGTCTTATCTGGTAAACGTAAAGAGCTGAAACGTGCAGCCGATGATGTTGAAGAATGTTTAATAAAAGTGAGAAGGTATGTTTTATGCTCAGTAAGTGTGCAAGGTTGCGATGCCAAGTCTGTGGAAGAAGAAATGAAACTTGTTAATACTAATGAGAGTTATACTTGTATATTTGACAGAATTAACTCTATTGTGTACATATATGCTCTTGAATCTAGAAAATCAAAATCAGTACAGAAAAAAATAGCACAAAAATTAGGTATTGATCTTCAGAAACCAGTGTGTTTCAGCAATGAACAGGCTGTCGCCCAAGAGGCCCAAAGACTTCATAGTGAAGTGAATACCACTTCAGAGAGAAGAAACGTACAAGCAAATGACCATGAGCATTCACAGCAACACCTAAATAAGTCTGTCATATTAAATGATGGCCAGGAAGACAAAAAGAAAACAACCCAGAGAAAGAACATTGTCAGGCAATTTTCATGGACACAGAACACCAAAAATATGAAAGTATATGAGATCAGCGGACTCTGTGTTAGAGTATATGAAGGTGATATAATCGGTGTTCCAGTTGACTGTATTGTAAATCCAGCAAACAGCAACCTTTCACATACTGGAGGACTGGCATTATCCATAGCAAATGCTGCTGGAAACAAAATGGATATTGAGTCAGTGAAAATTACTGCATCTTACGGTAAAACAACTGTTTTTCTTTCTTTTGAACTGTTCAGCATCTTACAGTACAATAATCTTTTACCTTTAAACTGTACATACTTATGAGTAGAAATTTGAATATGAACATTGTTTCGATTGTTCACCTTAAAGTTGTAAAAAATGAACTTCTTTCACAAAAAAATCATAATTTAATTTATCATATTTAAAGGATTGATTGAAAATAGTGCTTTATCATCCCCTGCCGAAAAGGCGGGGGGGGGGGATAATAGAAATAGTCTCCGTCTGTCTGTCCTTCCGTCCATCCGCCCGTCCGACATTTTTGTCCGGAGCTTATCTCAAAAAGTATTTGAGGTATCAACTTGAAACTTCATAGGTGGATAGACCTCATTGAGGAGGAGTGCAGTGCACAAGAATGATAACTCTTCCCTGCATAATTTTTTAGTAATTGCCTTTTGTTATTTTTCAAAATTAATTTTTGTCATGAGCATAACTCAAAAAGCCTTTGAGATATCAACATGAAACTTCATATGTGCATAGATCTCACTCAGGAAGTGTGCAGTGCACAAGAATGATAACTCTACCTTTCATAATTTTTGAGTTATTGCCCTTTGTTATTTTTCATACTTGATTTTTCAACTGAGTGGAGCATAACTCAAAAAGTGTTTGAGATGTCAACATGAAATGTCATTGGTGGATAGATCTTATTGAGGAGGAATGCGGTGCGCAAGAATGATAACTCTTTGCTATATAATTTTTGAGTTATTGCCCTTTGTTCTTTTTCATACTATTTTGTCAGGAGCTTATCTCAAAAAGTATTTGAGGTATCAACTTGAAACTTCATAGGTGGATAGACCTCATTGAGGAGGAGTGCAATGCACAAGAATGATAACTCTTCCCTGCATAATTTTTTAGTAATTGCCTTTTGTTATTTTTCACAATTTATTTTTGTCCAGAGCATAACTCAAAAAGCCTTTGAGATATCAACATGAAACTTCATAGGTGCATAGATTTCACTCAGGAGGTGTGCAGTGCACAAGAATGATAACTCTACCTTTCATAATTTTTGAGTTATTGCCCTTTGTTATTTTTCATACTTAATTTTTCACCTGAGTGGAGCATATCTCAAATGTGTTTGAGATGTCAACATTAAATGTCATAGGTGGATAGATCTTATTGAGGAGGAAGGCTGGGCGCAAGAATGATAACTCTTCCCTATATAATTTTTGAGTAATTGCCCTTTGTTATTTTTCATACTATTTTGTCCGGAGCTTATCTCAAAAAGTATTTGAGGTATCAACTTGAAACTTCATAGGTGGATAGATTTTACTGAGGAGGGGTGCAGCACCTAAGAATGCTAACCTACCCTGCATTATTTTTCAGTTATTGCCCTTTGTTATTTTCAGCCATCAGTATTCTCATAGGTTTCAAATTTGTAATCACTTCAGGCATCAGTTTTCATTACCTCTTAAAATGGAATTATTCTGCTCTACTACATATACATTCTTCCAATGAGCAAACACATTCCGCGGGGGATGGCCATGTTGACATGGCTCTTGTTGACAATGACTTTGATTGGGTGTTCTTTTTACCGGCTGTGGTGATAATTTTGCCTCTTATATGAAAGTTACATTTTTCATGTACAAAGTCCTGCAGAAGTATCAATTCTAATTATGTGTTCATGCCGATAAAGAAGCAGTGGCTTATTCCTACAGAAATCAAAAATGAATAGACAATAGACAGTTTTAATTCATGGAAGCCAAATATTCTTTGAGAGGGTTGCTATATTTTGTTAATAATATTGTTTTTATAGCTGTGTTTCTTTTTTGTATCGCCTCTACGGAATAGTGGCGATATATAGGGATCACTTCTCCGTCTGTCTGTCTGTCCATCCATCTGTCCGTCTGTCACAAAACTTGTCCGGACTACTCCTCATAAACTACTGGTGCAATTTCACCCAAACTTTACAGGAATGATCAGTACCAAGTATAGTTGTGCATATTGTCAGCATTTTCTGGTTCAATGATTTTTGTCAGAGTTATGGCCCTTTAATAATTTTTATTTTTAAAGTTTGTCCGGACTACTTCTCTTATACCACTGATGCAATTTCAATGAAACTTTACAGGATTGATCTGTAGCTCAAGTCCTTGCGCAGATTGCAAAGGTTTTCCGGTTGAATGATTTTTGGCCGAGTTATGGCCCTTTGATAAAAAAGGTGTTTTTTTCTGTGTGTTGCCAGGTACACAAAAGCTTGTCCGGATTACTCCTCATAAACTACTGGTGCAATTTTATCCAAACTTTACAGGAATGATCAGTACCAAGTCTAGTTGTGCACTGTCCGTCTGTCTGTCACAAAACTTGTCCCAACTTGAAATTGGCCATCATGAGGCGACACATGTGATCACTGATCGCTCTTGTAACATTTGATGTTCAGGAAATTAAGGATTTGGTTATGTATAGACGCTTTGATAAATACTATGTGCAATAATGATGCATGGTGCACGGATCTTTTATAATGTAAACTGAGTGTAAGTAGACACATGAAATGACTTGAAAAGATTGGTTTTTATTCAAGACCTTCATTGATTGTTTTTATTCAAGACTTTCATTTGAATCATAGGATATTAATTATATATTTTTCTGCCACATAATCATCTTCATTTATTATGCATATTTTCACTAGGAGGAGCTTTACCAGTTGCAGAAGTTGTTAGAACAACAGCAGGGCTGCTTCCATACAAATGCATATTTCATGCTGTAGGGCCATGTTGGTGTGACTATTCTCCATTAACAGAAGAAAGTATTGGTGACTGCTTGCATCAACTTAAATCGACAACTATTAAATGCTTCCTAGCAGCTGAACAAGAAGGCTTACAGACAATAGCCATTCCTACTATTTCTTCAGGTGAATTATGTATTTTCAACCATTATCCTGCTGAATTTTTTACATGCATGTGTCCAACTTCCATTTATGGAATCATGTATAATATTTTGGGATTTGAAGATGAAAATTTGAAGTAAGTCAGCCAACAGAATAGAGCCTGTTCGGACTACACTAATGGCCTAGCTCTTGTCACATTTGGTTCCAGCAATGTAATGGTTAATGGTTGGAATTTGAAGGCTGTTGTACATAAATTATATTTTATATTGTCCATTGGAAATAATTTCATCTATACCTTTTAAGTTTTCATTGACTGAGAAAATGCTTAAACAGGGATAGATCATCACTATTTATGCACATAGCACCATTAAAAGTAGACATACAACCCATATCAGTTTAGGCATATTTAAATTTATATCTTGTCTGTTGCAGGCTTATTTGGTGTGCCAAAAGAGTTGTGTGTGATACAGTATGCAAAAGCAGTTATAGATTACAGCACAATACATAATGGACTGAAAGAAATACACATTGTTGACATCAAACCTGACATGATAGATATAATACATCATGTCTTTGACATGATGATCGTCCAAAAACAAAATATCAAACTTGATGTACAGAGGTATTGTCAGGTAGTAACTATGGCCAATGCAGAAACAAAACACAATTCCAAAAAGTTAACAGAAGAAATACATGTTAGTAGTCAAATTCATAGTGAAAGAAGTGAACATACAGAAAAAGATATTGGTTGGAATGTAACATATGCAATTGATGGTTCAAAATTGATATGTGTATTTTCGTCCAACAAAGAAGTGCAGATATACCATGGTGATATTGTAAAATTGCGAGGTATTCAAGCTCTTGCATGTAGTGAAAACAGAAAAGGTGAAGCGAAAGGGGAAGTTGCAAATCACCTAGCGGAAACAAATGGAAAAGATTATCTAAAGGAGAAATCAGAAATGTTCAAGTCCAGTTACAATTATGGGGATATTGTTTTTACTTCTGGTGGAAAAAGTTGTTTTAAAGGCATTGTACATGTGATTACTCCGAGGAATGATATAAAAGCACTACATATGATGTACATCAACTTACTTGAGAAACTTGCAAAAGAAAACATTAGCAGCATTGCACTTCCACTTTTTGGAACAGGTATTTCTCTACTTTTAAACAATACAATGTCTGTATGTCTCTTTTTATGTCCTTCCTTTTGAGACTGGTTTACATTGTTGGCAAACAAAATATAACAGACATAATTTGAATACTCATTTGTATAACTGATAATTATTACTGTTTCTTAATAACAAATCTACAATTATTAAAGTCGTAATTCATTAAGATGTGAATACTTTTTAGGATAACTTTAGTTCACGTCAATATGAAAATGACATTTGTTTTACTTCCTCACTTTTACTTCTATGTGAGGAGGTAGATTAGTATTGGTTGTAGCTAAATCAATGGAAGACTTTAGCTTACCTGAGTAGGCTCAAGTTGAGCTTATAGAATCCTTAAATGTCAGTTGTCAGCGATCCTTCCATAATTAGTTCGTAAACACTCTAGTGGTCACATTTTTGCCTCAATTGTCGCCAAACTTGGTCAGGATGTCTGTCCTAGTAATTGCTCGAACAAGCTTATACATAGGTCATCTTTGTCACAGGAGCCAAAAATAGAAAAATCTTGTTAACATTGCAGTGTCAATTGTAAAGGTCAAACTATCCAGGAAATTGGTCAGAAAGATTGTTAAGATGATTTGTAGCTCAAGGTTGAATATGGGTTACCTGGGGTCAAAAACTAGGTCACACAGCCTAAATATGGTTAAACCTTATTAACACTTTTGGTGGTACTGTTTCAGTCCAAATATCCTGGATATTGGTCAGAAAACTTATTTAAATGGTTTCTAGGTAAGTTTGAATAAAGGTCCTCTGGGGTAAAAAACGAGGTCACACAGTCAAAATATGGAAAGCTTTGTTAACACTCTAGGAGCTACTTTTTTGGTCTAAATATCCTGATTTTTTTTAGCTCACCTGAGCATGCTCAGGGTGAGCTTTTAGGATCGATGATTGTCCGTCGTCCGTCCGTCGTCCGTTCACATTTAGTTGTTAACACTCTAGCGGTCACATTTTTGCCTCGATCATCATCAAACTTGGTCAGGATGCTTATCTAGTTGATAGCTCGGATGAGTTCGAACATGGGTCATCTCGGATGAGAAACTAGGTCACAAGAGCTAAAAATAGAAAAACCTTGTTAACACTCTAGAGGTCACATTTTTGCCTCAATCATCATCAAACTTGGTCAGGATGTTTGTCTAGGTGATAGCTCGGATGAGTTCGAACATGGGTCATCTCGGATGAAAAAATAGGTCACCGGAGCTAAAAATAGAAAAACCTTGTTAACACTCTAGCGGTCACATTTTTGCATCAATCATCATCAAACTTGGTCAAGATGCTTGTCTAGGTGATAGCTCGGATGAGTTCGAACATGGGTCATCTCGGATGAAAAAGTAGGTCACCGGAGCTAAAAATAGAAAAACCTTGTTAACACTCTAGCGGTCACATTTTTGCATCAATCATCATCAAACTTGGTCAGGATGCTTATCTAGTTGATAGCTCGGATGAGTTCGAACATGGGTCATCTCGGATGAAAAAGTAGGTCACCGGAGCTAAAAATAGAAAAACCTTGTTAACACTCTAGCGGTCACATTTTTGCATCAATCATCATCAAACTTGGTCAAGATGCTTGTCTAGGTGATATTTCGGATGAGTTCGAACATGGGTCATCTCGGATGAAAAAGTAGGTCACCGGAGCTAAAAATAGAAAAACCTTGTTAACACTCTAGGGTCACATTTTTGCATCAATCATCATCAAACTTGGTCAGGATGCTTATCTAGTTGATAGCTCGGATGAGTGTGAACATGGGTCATCTCGGATGAAAAAGTAGGTCACCGGAGCTAAAAATAATAAAAACCTTGTTAACACTCTAGTGGTCACATTTTTGCATCAGTCATCATCAAACTTGATCAAGATGCTTGTCTAGGTGATAGCTCGGATGAGTTCGAACATGAGTCATCTCGGAAAAAAAACTAGGTCACAGGAGCTAAAAATAGAAAAACCTTGTTAACACTCTAGTGGTCACAATTTTGACTGAATTGTCATCAAACTTGGTCAGGAAACTTGTCTAGGTCATTGCTGGGAAGAAATTGAACATGGGTCATCTCGGATGAAAAAGTAGGTCACCGGAGCTAAAAATAGAAAAATCTTGTTAACACTCTAGTGGCTACTGTTGTGATCCAAATATTCTGTTAATTGGTCTGAAAGTTTGTTTTGATGATTTCTAAGTCAAGTTCGAACATTGGTCATCTTGGATGAAAAAAACTAGGTCACACCGCCCAAATATGGAAAAACCTTGTTAACATTCTAGTGGTCACATTTTCGACTCAATTATCATCAAACTTGGTCAGGATGCTTGTATAGGTAATTGCTTGGATGAGTTCGAAATCGCATGTGGAACTAGGTCACCGGAGCTAAAAATAGAAAAATCTTGTTAACACTCTAGTTGCTACTGTTTTGATCCAAGTATCCTTGAAATTGGTCTAAAAGTTTGTTTTGATGATTTCTAGGTCAAGTTTGAATATGTGTCACCTGGGTAAAAAACTAGGTCGCACTGCTCAAATATGGATAATCCTTGTTAACACTGTAGTGGTCACATTTTTGACTCACCTGTCATGAGACTTGGTCAGAATGCTTGTCTAGGTAATTGTTTGGATGAGTTTGATAAATCAGGTGAGCGATCTAGGGCCATCATGGCCCTCTTGTTTGAAGGTTGTTAAAATGATTTTTGGCACAAGTTCGAATATGGGTTATATGGGGTAAAAAAAAATGGTCTCGCAGCAATAATATGTAAAAACTTGTTAACAAATTTAGATGCCACTGTAACGTTCCAAATATCCTGGAAATTGGTCAGAAAATATTGTTAAGATGATTTTTAGCTTAAGTTCGAATATGGTTCATCCGGGGTCAAAAACTAAGTTGCACTGCCTGAATATAGAAAAACCTTGTTTCAACTGTAGAGGCAATATTTTCAGCCTAAATGTCCCAGAAATTGGTCAGAAAAGTTGCTGCGTTGATTTCCAGCTTGATTTTGAATATGGGTCATCAGGGGTAAAAAACTAGACCACAGACCCAAAATATGGAAAAACCTTGTTATTGTTAACACTATAAATGCAAAATTCATAGCCAAAATATCATGAGAATTCACTAAATGTCAGCATGATTGTTTAAATGATTTCTAGCTTAAAGTTTAAATATGGCTTATCTGGGGTGACAGCCCATATATGGAAAATCTTGTTTACATTTACAAATTTTCAGTTGCAGATATGACGGTTATGAAATTGCCTAGTGGATCCCTACATAAGTTATACAAGTCATGCCCCTTGAGAGCAAATTGGCCTCGGGGATTCTGTGGCCGAATGGTCAAGATTGTTGACTAAAAACCACTTGCCCCACACAAGTGTTGTTTGAATCCCGCCGGGGACTTTGAATTCTGTCATGTGAAGAAGCTATTCCGCTAGCGTACGGAACGTTGGCTGTTCAAATCAAGAGCCTGTGCATCAACAATTGGGTTGTTAACACTCTAGCAGTCACAGTTTTGATTGGATCATAATCAAATTTTGTCAGAATGTTTGTCTCAATAAAAAACAGGGCAAGTTCGTATATGGGTCATCTCGGGTCAAAAACAAGATCACAGGCGCTAAAAATAGAAAAAAGATTGTTAACACTCTAGTGGCTGCAGTTTTGATCCAAATATGCTGATAATTGATCAGAAAGATTGTTTTGATGATTTCTAGGTCAAGTTTGTATATGCGTCATCTCTGGTCAAAAACTAGGTCACAGAAGCTAAAAAAAGAAAAATCTTGTTAACACTTTAGTGGCTGCAGTTTTGATCAAAATGTCCTGGAAATTGGTCAGGAAGGTTGTTTTGATGATTTCTAATAGGTTTTTTTTAGGTCAAAAACTAGGTCACAAGAGCTAAAAATAGAAAAATCTCGTTAACATTCTGGTGGCTGCAGTTTTTATTCAAATAGTCTGGAAATTTGTCAGGAAGGTTGTTTTGATGATATCTATGTCAGGTTCGAATATGGGTTGTCTCTGGTAAAAAACTAGGTCACAGGAGATAAAAATAGAAAAATCTTGTTAGGAAGGTTGTTTTGATGATTTCTATTTCAAGTTTAAATATGGGTCATATCCGGTCAAAAACTAGGTCACAGAAGCTAAAAATAGAAAAAGCTTGTTTACACTCTAGTGGCTGCAGTTTTGATCCAAATATTTTTGAAATTGATCAGGAAGGTTGTTTTGATGATTTCTAGGTCCAGTTTAAATATGTGTCATATCTGGTCACAGAAGCTAAAAATAGAAAAAGCTTGTTAACATTCTAGTGGGTGCAGTTTTGATCCAAATATCCTGGAAATTGGTCAAGAAGGTTGTTTTGATTATATCTAGATTAAGTTTGAATATGGGTCATCTCTGGTTAAATACTAGGTCACAGAAGCTAAAAATAGTAAAATCTTGTTAACACTAGTGGCTGCATTTTTGATTGAAACATCTTGGAAGTTGATCAGGAAGGTTGTTTCGATGATATATAGGTCAAGTTTGAATATGGGTCATATCCGTTCAAAAACTAGGTCACAGGAGCTAAAAATAGAAAAAGCTTGTTCACACTCTAGTGGCTACAGTTTTGATCCAAATATCCTGGAAATTAATCAGAAAAGTTGTTTTGATGATTTCTAGGTCAAGTTTGGTTATAGGTCATCTCCGGTCTAAAACTAGGTCACAGGAGCTAAAAAAATATTGTTAACACAATTGTGGCTGCAGTTTTTATCCAAATATTCTGGAAATTTGTCACAAAGGTTGTTTAAATTATTTCTCGATCAAGTTTGAATATGGGTCGTCTCTGGTCTAAAACTAGGTCACAGGAACTAAAAATAGAAAAATCTTATTAACACTCTAGTGGCTACTGTTTTGATTCAAATATCCTGGAAATTGGTCTGAAAATTTGTTTTGATGATTTCTAGGTCAAGTTCGAATATACATGTAGGTCACCTGTCAAAAAAAAGGTTACACTGCCCAAATATGGAAAAACCTTTTGAATACTCTAATGGTAACATTTTTGACTTATTTGTCATCAAACTTGGTCAGGATGCTTATCTAGATTTAATTGCTTGGAGGAATTTGAACATGGGTCATCTTTGATGTAAAACTAGGTCACAGGAGCTAAAAATAGAAAAATCTTGTGAACTCTCTAGTGGTTACTGTTGTTATCCAAATATCCTGGAAATTGGTCTACAAGTTTGTTTTGATGATTTTTAGGTCAACTTTGAATATGTGTCACCTGGGGTCAAAAACTAGGTCACACTGCCTAAATAAAGATAAACCTTGTTATTACTCTAGAGGTCACATTTTTCACTTAATTGTCATCAAATTGGTCAGGATGCTTGTCTGACATTGCTTGGATGAGGTCGATGGGTCAGTGGAGCGATCTAAGGGCCATCTTGGCCCTCTTGTTGATTCAATTGATCTGAGTTTCCAGATATTGACTTGCTAAATGGTAGCAAAATCAGTGACATTGATATTTATTTGTTCTTCATTTTACAAAATTACAAATAAAAGGAAAGTAGCTTGCTTGATATGTGTTTTGAAATGTAAATTAAGTCAGACAGACTTTCAGATCTGCATAAACTTCTAAGCATTTAAGTTATAAATAAATTTCTTTTTCAAGGTTCAGGCAACTTTTCACTCAGTATAAGTGCCACAGTGTTCCTGGAAGAATGGAGAATGTTTGTAAGAAAATACCATGGGTATGCCTTGACGATCCATCTTATTCTTGTTGATAAGTATACTTCAGACCTTGTTAAAGATATCTTCAGACAACACATTAATGCTTGGAATGGAAATTCTGGTGGGCCGTCATTTGATGCTCAGCAACAAATTGAAGAGAAAAATAAGAGAAGGGAGGAGGACAAGAAAGATTATGAGGATAGTAAAGAAAAGAAAGAGAACAGTGATGTAAGCGTTGATTTAAATGTGTTACTACATTAGAACAAACATTTCGTGTTTGTATTATCTAATTAAATAATACCTCAATAATGTTGGTGCATAGTAAAACAAAGCACAAAATATATACAGTATGAAAATAGCTTTGAATAGCCACTCAAAGCCGCTTGATAATTGTTCTTTCAGTAAATTTCATTATCACATAAACCGCGGCGCAGGAGTGTAATAAAGCCATTTAATAAAAATGATATTACACTAGACAATATTACACAAGTGTAATAACACTTTGACGTGACGTCATTTGCGCTATAAACATAGTGTTAAAGCGCGCTTATGTTAGCGTTACACTATAGACGCGTCAAATAAAGATGACACTTATTAACAGTTTACCGTTCTTATTTTATATATGTGATAAAAAGAATATTATATTCATGTAGATTTAATACTAAATTTATCGAACTCGTTGAATTAAACAATATTATGCTCGCCAGAGGCTTGCATAATATGATTTTATTCAACTCATTCAATAAATTTAGTATTAAACCTACACTCATTTAATATCCTCTATAACCTACACTCATTTAATATCCTCTATTTAATTAATGTGAACAAAAATTTCAATTACTATTGATGGATCCTCTACAATTCTGTTCTTTAATACATATACTGCAAAGTATTTTGACCTATGAATGATTTAACATTCGATTTACTTTATGCATTGTTGTTCATTTTATCTAGTTTATTTGGGGATTTGCAATTTGGAGTTGAAACTTGATCTATTTCATATACCCGAAAAGTGTCATTATTGCCCCATTGTTTCATATCAGTATCATTAAAAGTTATTTCAATCAGATGATTATATTTAAAGGCCGTTTCTACAGAAATTGAAGATGATTGCGTTATATGTATGGACAAAATTGAGGAAGCAGCAAAGCTGAAATGTGGTCACCAATTTTGCAAAGAATGTATTGAAGGATATTTCAAGGTAAAGTTTTACAACTGTTCTCTCGTCTAAAATATTTTGTAATTTTTTTATTTTTTTTTTCAAAAAATTGAAAGAACATTTGACAAGTTATAGAATATTTGTGATATGTATATTTACAGGTTAAACAAGTGTGTCCGACATGTGGACAAGTATGTGGTGTTATCATTGGTGATCAACCTGATGGGACATTAGATGTTGCTAAGATACGATCAAGTTGTACAGGATACGAAGGGTGTAAGACCATAGCGATGTCTTATAATTTTCCTCCTGGCAATCAAGGGGTAATTGATTTTTTTGCATCTTTTATTGTTTAAAAGAATGAGCGTATATAAAGTTCTTACGTCTTTTAAGTACATGTACAAGCAACTGTTTATTTCATAATAATCCTAAATTAAGTTTTTAAAAACCAGTGGTCCTTTTTTCTCAAATGAGTTTGAAGACATATGACAAGTGTTGACGAGTTTTTCTTCCCCTTACATTTAAAACAGACATGTTTAAAAGAAGGAATAGTATTTCACAACAGTGAAAATATATTATACATGCTTTTTGACATGTAATTACCTAAAGTAAACTTTAAATAGCAATACAACTTAACATTATTTATGCCACTATGCAAATATGAAAAGGAGGAAATTTGAATGCTCCTGATGAAATGAAAATTTCAATATCTTGACCTGTTTTAATAGCAAATGCATCCACGACCGGGGGCATACTACAGAGGTATTTGTCGAACTGGATTTTTACCTGACACAAAAGAGGGAAGAGAAATATGTGCCATGTTGAAAGTTGCATTTGAAAGGAGACTGGTATTTACAATTGGAATGTCTAGAACTACAGGGGAAGAAGGTGTTATTACATGGAATGATATTCATCATAAAACAGATCATAGACCTGGTACTCAGTAAGTATCAATTGTATAACTTCTCGTCGTTCATTTGCTATAATTTATAGTTTAGAAATATACCAATAAATCTCTTGTTGATATTGTTTATCACCAAGATGTTTGAAAAAAAAAGGTTATCGTAATTATGTAAGTATCTTATTCACACATAATAATGCTTTCCAGTTGCACTCATATTTAAAACTTTACAAGAAGACAGGGAAAAAGGTACATGAATTTACAAATTTTACAAATGATACCATTTAATGTTACAGCTTTATATTTTAGTTTAAGTAACAACTTTATATTTTAGCAATTTGTCATACATTTGTGGACCAAAATACTGTCTAATATTAGTCAGGTACTTCATACACTAAGTGAGGCAAAATATGTGTCCCTTTATCAATTTGCTAAATGTTTTAAGTCTGAAAATATTTTCAGCTATACAACAAGCAGAATATGTTACAAAACAGCACTTACATTTTGTAAATGAAGGTGTGCCCTAATATCATTTTATTTTGAGATTAATGGCATAAGTTATATTTATTACAAAAAATTGCACAGAGAAAGACTTTTTGCTGACATTGTTCAATTGAACCCTGAATGTAATTTTGATATACTTTTATCTTTTAGCACTTACACTTGATTAATTTTTTTATAAATAACGATTCAATAAAATTTAATAGCAAAATTTAGAACAAACACATTCTTTTTTGTTCAAGTACATCTTACTCCTTGCTGGTTTAAAGCGTAAATATTGATGATATTTACAGGTTTGGCTACCCTGATGATACTTATCTACAAAGAGTGAGAGAAGAACTTGCAGTGAAAGGAGTAACAGAACAAGACATGGACAGAAAGCTTCTGGAAGAGCTTAGCAAGGAAACATTTCGTGCTACGTATAAAACAGACACAACAGTATGATACCTGAGCATGTTATGTTTGTAGAAAAGTGAAATATGAAAGGAATTAGATGTTACATACAAGATTTTATAGACCGTTTCGTTTTTTAAACTAACAGGCAATATAACTTCACAAACACAATCTTTGTTCATAATGAAATGTTATGAAATCAGGATTAAAAAATTCATCAGAATTTGAAATTGAGAAATGGTCTTTATGTGTTCGTTTATTGTTGTTTTAGTATGCACAATGTTAGCAAGTGTGTTTTATGAAATGTTATTTTTTTAATCCTGTAAGGATTTTGTTTTTATTATTTGATATTATTAATTCAAATTTTTAATCAATTGGTTTTATACTGAATGTTCAATGTATATGATTCAAACACATTGATTATTGTATTATTCATTACCTAAAGGTTTTTTGGAGACAATACATTGATGAATACAGTTATTTTGTACTATCTGTGCCAGTGTTCACTAATATTTATTCATGGACTTTCCTGTGTTATCTGTCAAACATATTGACAGACTATTTGTATATGATTGATAGAACAACTTTTTATAATTACTAAGATTGATGATGTAATGTTTAAGTGAGTTTTCAATATTATTGGATATAACGATAGATTTATTGATTATAAATTACATACTAAGACATTAAAAGTCCAAATTAGCACTTTGCAAACGATTATTTAAATCTTATTATCTACTTGATGTGAAATTTTACTAAGATAAATGCATTCTTCTTACGTGTTTTTTGTCTTTAAAAGGGTATTTAAAAAGGATACACTGATATTTTTTGACAACAGGACTGGAATGTAATGCTCCATTGGATGCGAATCTTGTCCACTTGTGTGCGAAATGCCACATCATCCACTCTCTACATTTTTTCCAAGATAATTATTCAAATTGTGAAAAATTGAACCAAAGATGTATAGCACTGTAAGGCATTTCACTCAATTCGGGCTATAAATAGCATATAATACGATTTTCAATTCATTTCCGAGTATATTTCTTAATTATCTTTTACTTAGCCTTTGTTTTAAGAGCCCCAGCTGTTCGTTGTCAGAACTTCAAATTTTATATTTTCAGGTCTCAAAAAAGGGTCTCAGTTTAGTTCCTTTTAGGGGTTTTATAAAAATATATATTTTATAATTTACATGGCATGACATGTATATATAGGGAAATATCATAATATCTTTTATCACTTGTTTATATTATTATGCCACCGCAGCATCTGCGATGCGGTGGCATATAGCGATTCACCTGTGTGTGTGTTTGTTTGTGTGTGTGTGTGTTATATAGATTATATAGTGAACTTAAAAAATCTTCTTGTGAAAAACCACTTGTCCAATTTCAACCAAACTTGGCAGGATTGATCCTTGGGTGAAGGGCTTCCAAAGTTGTTCAAAGAATTTCATTCCATGCAGAAATCTGGTTGCCATGGCAACCGAAAGGAATTATAAGAATAAATTTAAAAAATCTTCTTGTAAAGACCCAAAAGGCCTAGAGCTTAGATATTTTGCATAAGGCATTGTCTGGTAGACCTCTACCAAGATTGTTCAAATTATAACCCTGGGGTCAAAATCGGCCCCACCCCGGGGGTCATTGATTTTCACTATATGTACATATAGTAAAAACTTAAAATAACTTCTTGTAAAGACCCAAAAGGCCTAGAGCTTAGATATTTTGCATAAGGCATTGTCTGGTAGACCTCTACCAAGATTATTCAAATTATAACTGGGGTCAAAATCAGCCCCGCCCTGGGGGTCATTGATTTTCACTACATGTACATATAGTATAAACTTAAAATAACTTCTTGTAAAGACCCAAAAGGCCTAGAGCTTAGATATTTTGCATAAGGCATTGTCTGATAGACCCTTACCAAGATTGTTCAAATTATAGCCCTGGGGTCAAAATTGGCCTTGCCCCGGGGTCATTGATTTTCACTATATGTACATATAGTAAAAACTTAAAATACCTTCTTGTAAAGACCCAAAAGGCCTAGAGCTTAGATATTTTGCATAAGGCATTGTCTGGTAGACCTTTACTCAGATTGTTCAAATTATAGCCCTGGGGTCAAAATCGGCCCTGCCCCGGGGTCATTGGTTTTCCTTATATGTATATAGTAAAAACTTTATAGTAAAAAAAATTCTTCTAGCAAATGCTAGAGGTTAGATATTTTGCATGAAACATTGTGAAGTGAACTTCTAGCAAGATTGTTCAAATTATAGCCCTGGGGTCAAAATTGCCCCTGCCCCGGGGTCATTGATTTTCAATATATACATATAGTAAAAAAAAAAAATCTTATTGTCTGAAGGTACAAGGCTTAGAGCTTGAATATTTGTTAAATGATATCATCTATAGGTACTCTACCAAAGTTGTTCAAAGTTTGCCTCTTGTGTCAAAATTAGCCCCGCCCCATGAGCCATAGGTTTTCCTTATATGTATATAGTAAAAACTTAAAAAATCATCTTCTCTAAATTTACAAAGGCTAGAGTTAAGATATTTTGCATGAAACATTACGTAGTGAACCTCTAGCAAGATTGTACACATTATAGCCCTGGGGTCAAAATTGGCCCCACCCCCAGGAGTCATTGATTTTCACTATGTACATATAGTAAAAAAAAAAAAGAAATATTTTTGTCTGAAGGTACAAGGCATAGAGCTTTGATGTTTGCTCTATAATATATTCTATGGGTTCTCTACTAAAGTTGTTTTAATTATGCCCCTAGTGTTAAAATTGGCCCTGCCCAGGGGCAGTGATTCTCATTATGTTCACATAGTAAAAACAGAAAATAAAACAAATCTTTTCTGAGTAGGAGAAAGCTACAGCTTTGATATTTGACTTGAAATGTTGTTTGGTGGACCTGTATCAAGATTGTTTTGAATTAAACCCTTGGGTCCAAAATTTTGCCTTGCCCAAGGGGACAGTGACCTACTTTCTTGTCCTTTGATGTACAGCAATGAAATTTTGACCATGTGCACAGTTTTAGTTGTAAAATTGAACTTTGATATCAGGTGAACTAGATTTTGATGATGTGACCTACTTTCTTGTCCTTTGATGTACAGCTATGAAATTTGAACCATGTGTACAGATTAAGATGTTAAGTGAACTTTGATTTCAGATGACCTAGATTTTGACAAAGTGTCTTACTATGTTGTCCTTTGATGTAGTCATGAAATTTAGGCTGTGTGAAATATGACCTTCACCACCAAATTCACTAGACTCAAGTGCATTGATATATTCCTACTCTGATCTTTTATTGAGTTAACAACAGATTTAACCACTAATCTGATAATAAGAATTAGATAGGTCAGGGATCTATGCATTATGACAATCTTCAAAATTGTATAGAAACAAAGAAAATCTGTTCCTACACTACTATTTAGTGTTGTATTAATGCGGTGGCATAGCATTTTTCTCAAATGCAATCTTGTTTATTTCTTAGTTTTACTATATTTCTGTTTGATTCAAGGTGCATCTAATTTTTTTAGCCATTTTTGAATTAAGACATGGTGTTTATTGTTTTCTCGATAAAAAACTTAGTCACCGAATAGTAAATCAAGCATAGTGTCCACATAGAGTGTTATAAATATTGACAATTGTCATGTTGAGTTATAACTAGTGTTGGGAATCGGACTCAAAAATCACTATCGATAATCGGACAACCAAAATCGATTGTCTGTCGATAGTATTATCGAGTTTCGCATCTTTTATGGTTTTTTTTCTTTTAAGGTATCAATCCTTGTGTGTATTTTTTATACAGTAGTGAGCACATTTTGAGAATAAATAAACTCTTGTCTCCAAAATTAAAGTAAGATTAACTTTTTGAATTTAAAACAAACAACACCTTATACCTAATACAACTTTGTGACAGGCAATTTTTGTATAATATATACAACTTTATGGCAGTCAATATTAGTAGTCAATAGGTCAAAATATTGTAGATCACTGATTTAAATACATTATATATGTAAGTTTATAATATTATGTTATCACACTCTATAAATTTCTGAAGTAACTTATTAACAATAAAGTATAGGCAATTCAGCGGTGGTAGAATATTAAAAATTAAATAATCGATTTTTAAAAAGGACTATCGATTGTCGCCGATTTTGGGGTGGTCCGATTAGTTATCGATTTTCAGACACAATCGGGACAACACTAGTTATAACCATAAAATAAGCTGCGTTAAGTGAAAACTGATGTGCTAAATAGCTTCAGCAATCTTGGATACATAAAAAGTATTTGTATTTTTCCGGCTAGATGAGCTACAAAGCAAATTTATTTTCTTGAATTGTAGATGTTAATTGTGTAAATTTGAACATAAACACATGTAAACTTTGTTATATATTACTTTTTAGCTCACCTGTCACAAAGTGACGGGGTGAGCTTTTGTGATCGCTTTTCGTCCGTCGTCCGTCCGTCCGTCGTCCGTCCGTAAACTTTTACTTTAAATGACATCTCCTCATAAACCACTAAGCCAATTTCATCCAAACTTCACAGGAATGTTCCTTTGGTGGTCACCTTTAAAAATTGTTCAAAGAATTTAATTCCATGCAGAACTCTGGTTGCCATGGCAACCGAAAGAAAAAACTTTAAATATCTTCTTTTAAAAAACCCTAACAGCTAGAGCTTAGATATTTGGCATGAAACATCTTCTAGTGAGGGTCTACCAAGTTTGTTCAAATAAAAGCCCTGGGGTCAAAATTGGCCCCGCCCCGGGGGGTCATTGATTTTCCCTATATGCATATAGTAAAAACTTAAAAAATCTTCTTTTAAAGAACCCAAAGAGCTAGAGCTAAGATATTTAGCATGAAACATGTTCTAATGGGTGTCTACCAAGTTTGTTCAAAGAAAAGCCCTGGGGTCAAAATTGGCCCCGCCCCGGGGGGTCATTGATTTTCCCTATATGCATATAGTTAAAACTTAAAAAATCTTCTTTGAAAGAACCAAAAGAGTTAGAGCTAAGATATTTAGCATGAAACATGTTCTAATAAGTGTCTACCAAGTTTGTTCAAATAAAAGCACTGGGGTCAAAATTGGCCCCTCCCCGGGGGGTCATTGATTTTCCTTATATGCATATAGTAAAAACTTAAAAATCTTCTTTTAAAGAACACAAATAGCTATGGCTAAGATATTTAGCATCAAACATGTTCTAATAGGTGTCTACCAAGTTTGTTCAAATAAAAGCCCTGGGGTCAAAATTGGCACCGCCCGGGGGTCATTGATTTTCCTTATATGTGTATAGCAAAAACTTAAAAAATCTTCTTTGAAAAAACCCAAATAGCTAGAGTTAAGATATTAAGGATGAAACATCTTTTAGTGAGTGTCTACAAAGTTTGTTCAAAATAAAAAACCTGAGGTCAAAATTGGCCCCACCCGGGGGTCATTGATTTTCTTTATATGTGTATAGCAAAAACTTAAAATCTTCTTTGAAAAAACCCAAATAGCTAGAGTTTAGATATTAAGCATGAAACATCTTCTAGTAAGTGTCTACAAAGTTTGTTCAAATAAAAGCCCTGGGGTCAAAACTGGCCCGGTCCCAGGGGTGTCATTGTTTTTAACTATATGTGTATAGTAAAAACTTAAAAAAAATCTTTTTTTAAAAAGCCCAATGAGCTACAGCTTAGATGTTTAGCATGAAACATCTTCTTATGGGTGTCTACCAAGTTTGTGCAAATAAAAGCCCTTGGGTTAAATTGGCCCTGCAACGTTGTGGGGGGGCCCTATATACAGGTGAGCGACCTCAGGGCCATCATGGCCCTCTTGTATAATTTTGTTATAAATTTTTTGATGTTTTAACACATATGAGTTAGTGCTAAAATAAGTTGGAGAAAAGCGTTTCCAGTGCTTATTGTTAATGTAGTTAACTATTAAAAATGTAGCAACCTGCCCAGTCCGCAAGTTTTGTCTGGTGATGTCTATATATCTTGTTTTTATTTCTGATTATCATAAGAACATACTTGTAAGTAACGTATACACATGTAGCTTTACATAGTTTTAAGTAGCAAACTGGGAAATTGTTCAGCATCATACCTTGTATAGATTATTTGTTCTACGTCACTTTTCTTTTTGAAATTATCAAATTTATAAAACGTCTATAAATTTGAAATCAGGTTTATGTACTGTGATTATGCCTCAATAAATATAAACATATTAATTTTCATACACTGTGATATACAACTTTTCTTATTTAGTAATAACATATCATAAGAGTTTTTGTTAATCATATAATAAGTGAACGTTGTATAAAATGTACAGTTTACTTTAAAAAATGATATTATTCCTATCCAAGGGGATGTACATGTAATTAGTGAAGAGGTGAAAGTCAAAATAAATTTTCCATTTGCCATTTATTCCTTTCAATTTTAAATTTTTTGGCATGAACGATAAAAAACTCGCGTTCTGAAAAAACTGTTCGGAACTTACATATAACGCTCCATTTAAATTTATAAAAGGAGAGGGCAATTTTTTTGTGATAAAGGCAGATTTTTATTTATCCTTGGCATTTTCAGCTGTTAGTCAATTACCTTTACAACAGTCAATATTTTAGATATAGTCAATTCAGCTTTTCAATGTAGCATGATGTCACTTTAAGATAAGAGCATATGAAAATAATGTTTCCAATGGTATGATATACAGCCATTCATATTTTCTAAAATAGCAATCAGCTTTTCGGTAGATATATGTTACTATTATTATTATTTGACGATTGTTATAACTGTTATATTAAAGCATATTTAAAAAAAAACAAGTGTTATTTATCAATATTTGCATATTTTTGGTATTATGATTCAGCACAGAATGTTTTCGAAAATTTTCCACTACATAATTTAATGCTATAATGCCATTCTTAACTAAACCAGCATCATCATCATCATAAAATGAATAGCAAAGATGCCGAGCGTTGATCTTGTTTAGTAATAAAAATACAGTATTTGGTGTAACATTACCCATTCATTAGGTGTAGTACACAGACAAAATATTGAAAATTGTCTGATCATTTTGTTGAGAATATAGTATTCATACAATATGCACACAAGCTCAAATATTGACCTTTTTATATGAACTTTTGGAATATCTTGATTAAATTGAGACTTGATAAATTGTTTTCATGACAGGCATTCAATTCATGAACTAAATAACTGGTTTTAGTTTTTATATTTGTAGTTACATATTTTAGTTTACAGCTTCTTTTCTATCCTACAATACTTTCTTTTAACTACCTAAAGGAAAATATATGTTGTTAAAACTTTAATTCAAAAAAATTAGTTCCTAACAAATAAAGTGCTTTATATGAGCTGTTGTGATACCCCAATGTCGGTGTCTTTCGTTGACACTTCAACACAGGTCAACCACATCTTCTAACCCGTTTGGCCAATAGTGTTGAAACAATACAGGAATTATTATGTTGGGGATGGTCCTCACTAAAATTGCGCAAATGGTTCCGGTCTGATGGACAAAATGGCTGAAAAATAAAAAGATTTAAAAGATCTCACCTAAAACACTTGGTACATATTGAAAAACTGTTTCATTTTTTTTTCAAATAGTTTTGGTCTGTTGAACAAGATGTACGTCAGAGCTGAATTTGAAATAAGCTTTAGATGACATCTCATCTCCTCGGTCGATTTGCAAATATGGATGAGTTTTTACAGGAATAAGTCTTTGAAAGTCCTTTACGAAGGATTTTAGCCCGAGAAAGCACAGGACATCAGACCCACTGCATGGAGTAAGACGGCAAGGTCTCATAATTTCTACAATTCGGGTAATGTTTAAGGCGCCATGACTTAGTCTGTATAAAGTTAACTGCCGATGATAATTCACTAAACATAATTCACTTGCATGTTGCCATTCTATGCCTTTATTCAATCATCATCCGTGGACTTTAAATGATTATAAGGCTACAAGTTTTGAAACGATGAGATACTACATTTCCTAGAAAAAAAGAAAAAACTCACCAGGTTACTAACTGTCTGAGGTTAAATATTTTTCAAGGAAGTAAAAATTATTGATAAGACTATAATCAACGACAAATAAATTTTACTGAAGGGATTCCGATTGGCATAGGACAGTTAAGCTGCTA